GAGGACTAGAGACCTAGAATGACTTCTGTATTTTAAAATATTATTATTTTTGTTGTTCCTGTATGGTACTGTTCTTCTGTCGTCTGCAATCCCTTTGGGCACTGCTCTGCCTCCCATTGTGCTGGTAAGTGCAGCCCTTTGCAAGGTGGTTTGTTTGTTTGTTTGCCTCGGCCTGACATTGGTAGCCTGTGGCTGCTGCTGCCTCCTCCTCTCCCTGGCACAGACCCGGCAGAGATTCTGCTGACCCCTTTCTGCAGGGGTCTTCCAGCGTGGCCCTTGGATGGCTTGTGGACTTCAGCTCCCAGAATTCCTCAGCCAGGCATGCCTGGCTGAGGAATTCTGGGAGTTGAAGTCCACCAGTCATCCAAGGGCCACGTTGGAAGATCTCCTGCCTTACTGGAAGGAAATCCCCCACCCCATTTTGGATGTTGCCTGGAGAGGCTTATGCTGATCAGGGGGAGTGGGTTTTTTGGGTTTTTTTAAAGGTTTTACATTTAAATTGCCTCCAGAAGTTGTGGGTGTTCCCTCCCTGGAGGCTTTTAAGAAGAGCCCGGATAGGCATTTATCAGACATACAGTATACAGAACTCTCTTTGTGAGAGCAGTGGGTTAGACTAGATGACCTCAAGGCCCCTTCCATCTCCGTTACTGTTGCAAGCCGGCAATTCTGTAAACTCTACCCCCATCTCCCTCCGCATGCCTGGATGGAGACTCTTTAAGATAGTGGCCAGCAAATGTTGTTGTTGTTTTTATTTATTTATTTTATTTATTTATTAAATTTATATACCGCCCTATCTCCCTTGCGGGACTCAGGGCGGTGATTTAAATTTAAAGGATTTAAAGGATTTAAATTTAAATTGCCTCCAGAAGTTGTGGGTGTTGAGAGGAATAATGAGAGGGAGGGAAGGAAGGATCAAGAAAAAGAACAGAGGGAAGGTGGGAGGAAATATCAAAGGATGGATGGATGGATGGATGGATGGAAGGAAGGAAGGAACAATGGGAAGGAGAGGAAGGGAAGGCGACCCCCAGTCCCACCCCCCTCCAGCAGAGACCCACGCATCCCCCCCACATCCCCGCCCGCACCCCTCACAGGCCCCCCACAACCTTAGTGATGAGCTGGTCACGCCTCCCCCCATTGACTTCACTTGTCAAAAAGTTGCAAAAGGTGATCACGTGACCCTGGGACAGTGACCGTCGTAAGTCTGAATCAGTTGCCAAGCATCCGAATGTAAATCGCAGGGCCCTGGGGATGCTACAACGGTCGTAAGTGTGAAACATGGTCGTAAGTCACTTTTTCCAGTGCCGTCGTAACTTCGAATCATCCCTAAGCAAATCGCTGTAAGTCAAGGACTGCTTGTACCTTATCATTTTTTTTTCTTTTTTTTGGTTTTTGGCCATCAGGTTTTTGACACCTCGCTAGGCCACTGGTGGGACTCGGATATTGCCTTACCCTCAAAGTGCTATAGATGGATATTGCCTTACCGGGACACGATATCTACCAGAAACATCAGGGACAGTCCGACGATACGGGTTTTATTGGTGTCCTCCCGTGAGAAAAGTACGGGGACAAGATATATACCAGATACATCAAGGGAAGTCCGACGATATGTGTTTTATTGGTGTCCTCCCATGAGAAAAGTATGGGACACAATATATATCAGAAACATCAGGGAAGGTCCGACCTATGCCCAAAATAACCCCAGGACATGAAAAGGGTGCCCCTCCTGCAGTTAGTTTGGGCATAGCGGCCTGACAGGGACTACAAAGACCATCTATAGCACGGGGCATGAAAAGAGTGCCCTCCTGTGGTTATTTTGGGCCCTGCAGCCCAAAAGGCCGCTATGCCCAAAATAACCACAGGAGGGCACTCTTTTCATGCCCTCTGCTATGGATGGTCTTTGTAGTCCTTTCCAGGCTGTTATGTATAAAATAGCCACTGGAGGCCACGCTTGTTATGCCCTGCAAGAGTTGTAACCCGTTTCCTTTCATACAAAATAATTATGCAGTTGGGGTGATCCCAGTTTAAATTTGGGCTAAGCAACCAACTTGCTACAACAGTTGAGGGTTTGACCCAGGCCTTCCCGCCCTGGTCCAGAGTCATCACGATGGCCTTCCCGTCTAGTCCGACCTGCACAACGGACTGTTCATCCGTGGTGCTGCTTTGGGGGGCCTTAAGCCCATCCTGCCCAGGGCCTTCCTTTTTGACGTATTTGGTTTTGTGAACGGAGGCTTGAGGGTACGCTGCCCCTGACGCAGGAGGCTCTCTTCACCTTCCAACAAACAGGCACGGCCCTACTGGAGGCCTTGCCTGGAATGGTTCCCAAAGGATCGCCATCTGACTCCTCTATCGAACGTCTGCTTCACTCTTATTCGTGCTTCCCCGGCCCATTTTTCATCTTTTCATCGTAATGATGCCTTGGGCTCCCGGCTCCTTTCCACTCGGTGTCCACTGAACCTTGTGGGGGAATTTCTAAAGCCGATTTCTGTGTTCCGGGATGGCCTTTCCCTCCTTCCTGCGCTACGACTATCTGAGGGGCTGCCACAGAGAAGAGGGGATCAGCCTGCTCTCCAAAGTACGGATGGAAACTAACCAAGGAGAGAAGCAACCCAGAACTAAGGAGGAATTTCCTGACAGGGAGGACAATGAGTCACTGGAGGTTTTCAAGAAGAGACTGGGCAGCCGTTTGTCTGAAACAATAGAGGGTCTCCTGCTTGAGCGGGGGGGGGGGGTTGGACTAGATGACCTCCAAGGTCCCTTCCAACTCGGCTACTCTGTTAACTAGCCCACCGACTTGGCTCCCTCGTTAAGAGCCCCTTGTTGTGAGACTCAAGTAATTGCGTGTAAGGAAGAAAGGCTACCAGCCCATAGAGGAAGGCTTGTGCAGACGTGTTGTATTTTTTTTTGCCAGCAAACATTCACGACTTCACGTTGAAGGACACACCCGTTCTCTCTCTCTCACACACACACACACACACAAACACACATGTGCACACCCAGCCCTCTCTCCATCAGGGCTTCCTCGGCCCCTGCGAGATCCCTTTTCCATTCGCCTTCCTGACACCCAGGCTGGTACTGCACCAACTCTCCTGTGGGCTGAGCCCCCCCCCTGCCATGGCAGGAGGGCGGAGCCAGACCCAGACCCCGCCTTTTAAAGTGCAAGAATATTGCTTTTCCGTGGGACGGAAGGAAACATGCTCTTTTGGGAAGATTGCCCCTCTTTTTGACACTGGAGAAAGCGATGGAGGAAAAGCTTGTTATTCCACATCTCCCAGCCCAAGACTCTGGAGTCCGGATCGTCTTCTCTCCGGCCCGCTGCAGACTCTCCCAGCCGAAGCGGAATTCGAACCCAAAGGAGGGAGGGGCAGGATAGCGGGGTTTGGGAGGGGGGGGCAAAGCCAGAGCCGGCCCCTCAAACGAAAATCGGGATCCTCTCGCGGATGGCCTGTCGGCAGATGGGACAGACGTTCAAGGACACGCCGCACTCTTGGCAGGAGCCGTGTCCGCACTGGTAGATCACTTTGATCTGGCTGTCGATGCAAATGGGGCAGGTGATCCGCTCCTCCATCTGCCGATAGCGGCTCTGCAAATCCTCCATGAGCTTCTGTTGGTTGGTCACCTCGGGGCCCGACCCACCGTCCACTTCAGAGTTGTCTGTGGCGGGGAGAGGGGGAGGGGTGAGATGGGGAAGGCGGTGTGAGAAAGGAGACACACACACACACACACACACACAATCACACACACGCGGGATCCCCTTTCTAAGCATCTTTTCGTTCCATGTGCATTTCCCAGCTGGCAGGAAAATCCTGCTAAGATGTGAAATGTGTCGCTTGGGGCGAAGGGCAAAAATGCAGAAAATCATCCGGGGGGGGGGAGAGAAAAAAGAGACAAGCATCTAATCCCACCTGATTTATTTTACTTATAAATCCTGATTTGGGGGGAGCTTTTTGGGCCTCAACTGTGGTTTATCTCTCCTTTGTTTCTGGGACTCTGTATTCTGGGAAACCAACGTCTGGTCTGAAGCAACACTTAGACTCACATGCCAGTCCAAGCGACGGCTGGCTTGGCGTCGTTTGCAAACGGCGTGTACAACCTGACTAACGAGAACCTAAACGAAATGCCAGGGTAGCACTTGTGCGACAAAAAAAACAAACAAACTGGGGTTCGGGAAACATGGGAACAAGCAATTGTGGCTTATGTTAAAAAAAAGAAAAGCTAGCTGTGCCCTTAACGCTTCCAACTGACAAAAAAGGAAAACCAGTGGAGGAGGGCAAAGGAAAAGGAAGGGTCTGGATGCTGATTGTAACCGTGGGATGTTCCCAACTGCAGCCTCTACTCCACGCTGGTTGGCTGAAAGCAAAGGGGGGGCAACGCCTGCCAAGCTACTCAAGCCATCGTGCTCACCTTGTTTTAACTTTTTGGTAATCGTGACTTGGCATTTGATGCACTTCTTCATCCTTCTGGAGCATTCTGTTTGCAGGGAGAAATTGGGAGAGGGAAAAGGTGGGAAGAGAGACATTAGCGTGATGCGAGCTCCCCACAAACTCTCCTTCCTTGCTTTGGGGGGGAAAAAAAACAACAGATGTCAACGCTGCAAATACTGTATATTCTTGCTTTGACAATATGCAGAACTGTCTGGTATTTTTATAGTTAAACCAGGCAACAGGGAAAAAGGGAGGAGAATAAGGAAAGCCCGGGAAAAAGAAACAGGAACTAAATCACATCTTCCAAGTTGATTGGAAGAAGTGAACCATGACCCCAAAATAAGGGGGGGGGGGGGAAATGCTTAGAATGTATATGCCTAACGGAAGAGAATCCAGATCTAAGCATTTCCACCATGCCGTACTGACGTCTCTGTAACCTTAATAAATGCTTTTAGGGAAAAATATGCCTGAAAGTCCTTTTAAGTGTTTCGTTAATCAGACACACGACAACAAAAAACAAAACCCAACCACCACCAGGAGAAGTCAGAAACAGATGCTTCAGCTACGGGATACGGGGACATACCTTCACACACAATGCTGTGTTGACAGGGGAAGAAGAGGACCAGCAGCGCCAGTTCCGAGCAAACCAGGCACTCCGAGGGGGCCGCCACTTTTGGCACGCTGAGGTTCGTCATGGTGTTAGGGGTGGTGTGGACTCTCCTCAGGCTGCTGGTCGTGGTGGAGCTGTCCGAGGAGGATTCCTGCTGCTCTCTGCAGAAAGAGTCGTCCACGTTAAGGGGAGAGGGCAGCGTGGCCTCGTCGGGGGGTGGCTGCCCGTGAGCAGAATCGAACACCTTTGGGCAGCTCAGCCCCACTTCCTGCAGGAGAAAGGGCGCGAGGACCACCCAATTTTGAAAGGGAGCCTTGCCGGGGGATCCGGAAGGGGTGCAACCGCGGAGATTGCACCAATTATCTCAAATGTGCGGAAAATTGTCAAAGCTGATTCGGATTCTACCCTTACCTGCAATTGTCCTCTCAGAAATGGAAGGGGGGGGGAGTAAAATCCTTGTGTTGGGGGGAAGAGTTGAGAGGGGCCGAGGAATCAAGGGAGCCAGCTGGGCCCTGTGAAAGTTCCTTCGCTTCAGAGTCATGCTATGGGAACTCTTCAAGCGGCACAGACTGTTTTCCTTGGATTGGCGGACAATGGGCAGCGGCTGGCCTAAAGGGGAAATTCACCTAGGCCAGCGTTAGGCAACCTCGGCTCTTTTAGGACTCGTGGACTTCAACTCCCAGAATTCCTGAGCCAGCCACACTGAGGGGAAAGGGAGAGGTTTCCAAGCTGAGCCAGGCTGGCTCAGGAATTCTGGGAGTTGAAGTCCACGAGTCATGAAGGGGCCAAAGTTTCCCCCATGCTGGCTCAGGAATTCTGGGAGTTGAAGTCCACCAGTCATCAAAGAGCCCAGGTTGCCTACCCCTGGACTAGGCTGCTGACTGCGGGAACCTTTAAAATTGGCTTCGCTTCGTCTGCACCCGTATGGATCTGTCAGTAAGGTTATGCGCTCTCGGTAAACTTACATCCCAGGTGTGTCTTTTTCTGCCTATGCTCCGCAAATATTGCAGCCGGACCATTTCTGGGCTCAGAATGGACCCCTTATTTCTAGCCACAAAGAACATTCCAAGCCGGGGGGCCTTCCTGTCAGCTGCAAGGAGGACGAGGTCAAGAGCGGGAGACGCTGCGACTGACCCCCACCTGTATTTCTGGGAGAAGGTCTGGATGAGGTGCGCGATGCTCCCGTCCGAGACGAGGTCAAGCGGAGACTTGCCCCGGTGGTTGGCATAGTGGACGTCGGCCCCTTGCTGGGCCAGGTAGCAGGCCAGGGCGGTTCCCACGTTCAGCTGGGTGTTGCCGAGGAAACCGGAGGCCTGGAGCTGCGGGAGGAGGAAGACCGGAAGAAGAAGGGGTGTTAACAGAATCTGGGGCGGGAGAGCCGTGAAGAGGAAAGAAGGACTCGGAAAAGTGAGTACAGCCTAGAGACAGAACAAATAAATTCAGAATAACCCTGCCTCAGTTTCACTTCTTGAGCCGGCCTACCTCATAGGACTGTGTGTTATGGAGAAACGGATACTTGGCTAAAACTTTGAGTAGCATCAGTCAAAGTGGCCTCCGCCCAAGGCCCTCCCTCACCTTGGAGAACAGGCTGTCTTCCCGGCCCGGCTGTTCCTCAACCAGGACAGACACCAGATGCTCCCTCTCCAGGATAATGTGCATGGCGGTGTCGCCGTCCTCGTCTTCGGAGTTGACGTCGGCGCCTTCGCTCACCAGCAGCTGCACCATCTCCAGGTGGCCCTGGGTGACGGCCAGGTGCAGGGGCGCCTGGTTGCGGTTGTTCCTGAGGTTGACGTCGCAGCGGCCCTGGGGGAGGAGGGGAGGGTCAGCTGCCTTCAGCTCCACAAAGCGGCATCTTGAATCTGGGCAGGTTATTTTCCCTGAAAGGGCGACAGGCGGCTGACCCTCTTCTATGGTGGGACGGGCTAGGATGGGCTTTTAGGACGGGCAGTCTCAACTTAGGACCATTCCAACCATTTGAAATTACCAGGGTGTTGAAGAGACTGACGACCTCTGCCCAGTTACAGCCCCTCCCACCCCCGCGATCATGGGGTCAAAGTTCACACACTTGGCACTCCAAGGTCATAACTGACTGCTTATCCGCCACAAAATTCCAGGCTCGATTGTGGTCATAAGTCAAGGACTTCCTATGGTTTTTGTTTTTTCCCCAGGAAGATGGAAGAACCTTTCCTCCACTGATAAAAAGATTAGCCGAGCCAAAAAGCATCAATCTCGCCTCGCTGGCAATTTTGCCTCAAAAGGGAGTTGAGGTTAATGTTTCAGAAAGCTCCTCACCCCTCATTTAGAACCTAAGCAGAAGGTTGGGAGCCTGGTTGGGAGACCACTAGGAGATCCCAGGCTTCTGAACAGACTTTATAAATAGCATCCTCAGCTGGTTGGGCAGACGTCCTCCCCAACCAGCCGGGGGAAGTCCTCCCTGCGCCCCCGTCACCCCAACAATTTCTCCTCCCATTTACCTCTTTGATTAAAATCTCGGCCACCTCCTTGTGATTGTTGAGGGCAGCCAGATGCAGAGCCGTGAACCCGTCGTCCTTTTTGGCGTCCACCAGCTGCCGAGCCCTTGCGAGGATCTTCTTGATCGCTCTGGCCGGGGGGTGGGGGTGGGGAAGAGGACAGCAAAGGAAAAATAAAAAGAAAGACAGGGAAGAAAAGAAGAAGAAAATGTGCATTTAGGGTACGGATTGCCATAGAGAATATACATTTTGGGGGTCCCTCCTGGCATTAAAAAAAGGCGTATCTGGAGGTAGGAAACCCACCTAAACCTACAATGTAGGCATGAATGTAGATTTTTTGGGGGGGGAGGGGGGTTAAAAATCAGCTCAGCCATCCCCAGAAGTGATTTTGGCATCTGCTTCACCAATTCTGTAGGATCAGCCCCGCCCTGTGTCTCCCCGAAATCGTGAAATGATGCTGCCAGAATGTGAAAAGATTACAGGATCCAATCTGAGCCGATCACCGGGGACTAGAGGTTTAGTCTTCCGAGCTTTCGGATACATGCTGGTGCCCACCATCCTCAGGGAATTTCTCTCTCTCTCTCTCTCCACGTTCTGGTGAGAGGCAAGTTCCCTGAGGATGGTGGGCTCCGGCACAAATCCGACAGCTCGGAAGACTAGCCCTCCAATCCTGCTGACCGACTCAGATTGGATCCTGCAACATTATCCTGGGACACACAGGTAGATTCGCCTTCATTAGGGCCAAAAGATTGCTTGCCTTTAATTAGGGCGCCTTTAGAAAGGTTTACCTCCCATTCAAAAGACGCATGGAACTTTATTCGGACGGTGACCTCTTGAAGAAGCAGCACATTCCCCAAGCCAAACCCCCCCCCCCCTTTGGCCCTTCTATGCTCTTTGCATAATTCTCTTGGCAGGCCAAGTGATCTCTTCTCTGCCCTTTCAGGGGTTTGACGTGTTCGCCGGCATTTGTGTGTCAGGAATTTTTCCCCGGGACCTTAAAGCCTGCCTGCCTGCGCTAATGTCCTGGAAGTCAACTCCGATTATATCAGCCTTTACTCGTCTCTCGCTTACAGCTTGTTTCCTTTTAGGGCTGCGTGGTGCAACAGGTTGAACCCTTGTTGATTCTGGATGGTAAAATCAATGCCAGGGACCTCAGTGAGGGCTTCGATGATGCATTTGAAGTCGGCAGTGATGGCGTAGTGGAGGGGGGTCTCGCCCGAAGAACCCTGAAGGGACAAGCGAAGGCGTTGACACAGCCAAACAGTGGTGAATTCTCAATGTAGATTTTAAAAAATGCAACCTTCCACTCAAACAGAACCCAAAAGCTTAAAAAAAAAAATGGGAGGGATGGGAGACCACTCAGAGAGGCTCGAGGGTTTCGGAGCTGCGATCCCCAAAGAGAGAGAGAGAGAGAGAGAGAGAGACTCACCAGCAAATTAACATCGCAGTTGTTTTCGCACAAGGCCTTCACCACCTCCGTGAAGCCGTTGTTGACCGCGACGTACAAGGCCGTGCACCTGGCGGTGTTCAGAAGATTCGGGTTGGCGCCTTTGCTGACCAAGAGCCGGGCGATGTCCGCTTGATTCCTGGGTCGCAGAAAAGCGTAAGTGGCAAAGACACGAGGGAGGGGAGGAGAAACGAACTAGGAATAAAATCCTTCTCCTGCTACGCTCATTTCTTCGGGTTTTATTTTTTTAAAGGCTGGAAATGGAGAATGCTAAGCCATCTTCATCGTCTTCCTCCCGCTTCGCCATCGCCCCAACTCCATTGAGTGAGAAATAGGGGCCCCCGAAGGGCAGCCGCTTTGGACCCCCCCCTTCCGCTGTTATCTAGCAGGCAACCGTCCCATTATGTTCCTGGAAGAGCCTCCATCCTAACTGGCTAAGGTCAGAAGGATAACCCTGGCTTTTTTGGACATTGGCTTTTTTTTCTCCTCATCCCTCCCCATCCCTTCTTCCTTGTATGTCGTGCCTTCTGAATGGAAACAACAATTATTTATGTTTTATTTGGAAGCCTCGCTTTTAAAGAGCAGCTATTTCTTTTGGAAGAAAGTCTTTCCCACGCCCCTCCTCACCGTCATGCTCCCTGCAAGGGGAGCCCTGCCCCCATAGCTCTCAGCAAGGACCACTTACCCGAAGGCTGCGTAATGAAGGGCTGTGTCCCCTTCTTCATCCCACAGGTCGACATTTGCGTGAGCTTGCAGCAGGAGCATGGCCACTTCCATCTGCCCCACGTACGACGCCACCTGCAAGGCGGTCCTGCCCTGGTTCTGCACATCCACCTGGGGGAGAGATTTAGCATCTGTCGCAGGATTGGCCAGCTGATAAACTCTCAAGGCCAACTCCGGCTTGTTTAACAGGACACCTGCCATTGGCTCCCCTCCATCCAGCTAATTCTGGATTAAATGCATTATTATTCAATCTCAAATGTATTATTCCTGGCTCGGGACGTTCTGGATCTGGACTGCGTCAGAGCCACACTGAACCACGACAATTTGTGGCAGAGACTAAAAAAAGGCACGCAATCTATTTTTGTTTGTTTATTTACATTTATCCCACTTTTGTTATTTTTATAAATGAATCAAGCAGCAAGCATAACTAGTACTCCTCCTATTTTCCACACAACAACCCTTTGAGGTGGGGGCTGGGGCTGAGAGGAAGTGACTGGCCCAAATTCACCCTGTCAGCTTTCATGCCAATGGGGGGATTAGAACTCACAAATGCCTGGTGATTGGCCCAAAGTCACCCAGTCAGCTTCCATGCCTAAGGCAGGACTAGAACTCACCATCTCTTGGTTTTCTATCCTGGTGCTTTAACCAGTGGATCAAGAACACGAAAGAGGTGATTAATTTAGTGGTTCTTAAACTGTTTGACCCCCTTTTCCTGGGCTCAAATAAGGCCCTTATCCCAGCAAAAAAGAAAACCTGGTTGTTTTACGTAGATTTTAGCAACGGGAGTCCCAGTCTGGATTCACAAAAAAGCAGGATCTGTGCTTCCCCACCTTCACCCCCCGTTTAAGAACCACTGATTTAAAGTATTTCCACATGGTTCCTCTTACATGGATTTCTCTCTCCAGAGAGACTAGTCTGCCTCCTGCACGGAGATCATTTTTTAATAAGCTTCGATAACATTTTGGCTTGCTCTTGGGGTGGGCCAGCGCAGGCGAGGGGGTGTTGTTTCCCCAATTCATCTGGATCTGACCCAGAGAACGTTCCTCAGAAGCTACCTGCCTTGTCAGGATATTTCTGAATCAAGTCCCGAACTTTGCCGATGTTTCCGTGAGCTGCCTCAACCACCAGGCGGCCTGGGCTGTCGGCCTCGATTTTTTGGGAGAGTAACCGTCCCACCACGGAAACCAAGGAACCTATGAGAAGGAACCAAAAAAAAATACAAATATCACCAGCCAGTTGAGAAGGCCAGCCTAACCTCTTCATCATTTCCTGGGCAATTTTGATTGAAAAGCTTCTGAAAATGTTCGGGGCTGCACCTCAGCTAATTTCCGATGTAGCAAATATTACAGAAAGGCACCCTCTTTTTGCAAAGAATCGGGGTAAAAGCTCTCCCTCACTTTTCGACTCCCGGGTGTCCTGAGTGGTCATAAGGTTTGCGTCTTCCTCTCTTTGATAGGCTGTCAAGCAGGCTGGGTTGAAGGTCCAGGACTGGCCAGCAAAGGACACTCGCAAATCTCCATCCCCAAAGATTTTGATCACCTTACCGATGTGGCCCAGGATCTGCAAACCGGAAGGAGAAACAAGTTCGCGTGGTCTCTTGCACCCGGCCAAAACGAACAGGGAGTGAACAAAATGCCCTGGACCAGATCATTTGTATCCTGGCCTCTCCTGTCAGCCCCTTGATTCGGTGGAAAAAGTGTTGAGGACATGGTTGAGGTGGTTTTAAATTTAGATCGAAGCAAGGAAAGAAAGAAAAAAAAGGGGGGGTGTTAAGGGAAGGGAGCTCACCGCTGTCATCTCGTCCGTCCATTCTCCGTGACCGGCTTGCAGCTGTTTCACTGTCTCCATGTCGTCGATCACCCTCACGACATCGTCAACCCAGAAGGTGTTAAGCTACAAGGGAGAAGAAAAAGGCAATTTTTCTACGTTTTCTGGCTTGGGACTTGGGTCACGTCAGAGGAAATCGGGAGATGATGATGATTATTTTCTTAAACAGATGAATTCTCCAACAGGGGGCATTCTCCAATGAGATTTCCTGATGGTCTTCCTTCCCAGTGCTAAACACCCATCCTGCCTTAGTATTTTGAGATCGACAAAGAAAGGTTAGGAATTAATTCCTGGCTGGGTTATGTTTTAGTAGCTGTGATACTGAAGAAATCTTGATCACGTGACCCTGGGGATGCTGCAACGGTCATAAGTGTGAAAACCAGTCGTACGTCCCTTTCTTTCCAGTGCTGTTGTAACTTTAAATGGTCACTAAATGAGGCCTACCTGTAACATCTATTCAACTCTGCGTAAAGACCAGTGGGTTCTTTAACTTGAGTCATGGTTATAGTGGGAAGGACTGGATACTCTTTTGTAGGGATATCCAATATAATTCATCCCTCTGGAAAAACTCTCCTTTTCTCCTGCGTCAGCCCACAATCCGAGTTCTAGAATAATTTGCCCAGGGAATGAACTTGACCCACCTTGGTCAGCGCTCCGGGATGAAACGTCCAACGAGTGTCGTTGTTGAACTGGACCCTCACGTCTCCTCGATCTGTGATCCTGTGCACTGTTCCTGTCTGGCCAATGAACTTTGGGAAGGAAGCAAAGAGAGGAAAGAAGCATGTGGCGAGGAAGAGGAAAACTGAAGAAGCAAGAAAAAAAAAAACCCCAACACCCCATCATCCTTGCTGCTCTAGAGCGGGCCGGTCATTTGGCATTGTCCTCTAAAAGTGACCGGCCAAACATCTGTAGGAGATCCTGGCCTCTTCCAACCAAAGGGTGGACATTTGCACAAGCTTACCTCGGCCATTTTGGGGTTCCAGCCTCCGTGGCCCTCCTGCATCTCTCTCAAAATGTCAATGTCAAGCAGGCATTTCACCTTGTCCCCGTGCTGGAATGGGTGCCCCTCCGTGCTCTCCTTTTTCTGCAGCTCGGCTGGCTTGCCTGGAGAAAAGACCAGAGAGGGGAAGATTTTAAAAAAGAAGAAGAAGACAAAAATGTCCGACCTAATCCGAAGGTATTTAAGGCAGGGCTGCCCAATCTGGGCAACTTTTAAGACTTGTGTTAGGTGTAAATTACAGTCTGCCCGTGACAGCCGCCTCTTCACTTGGGAAGGGACTGGGTAACAACCCCCAGGATTCCCAGCAAGGCCCAGCTGATGATTATGGAAGCTGTAGTCCACTAGAGGGGGGCCAGAATTCTCAGCAAGGTCCAGCTGTTTATGAGGAGGGGGCAGAGATTAAGGATAGCTATAATTATTTTTTTTGAACGGCCCACACGTACCTAATTTAGGAAGATGCTCCTTGTAATAAAACCCCCCAGATGCTTCTGTGATACATTTTAGGTCCACTTTCCCTTTGTGACCGACTCGGTAGACGTTGGTAGTACCATCGGCCCAGGTGACACTGGCCACGCTCCGCCCCGTCTCCACATCCCAACCACGGATATCCACCACACGGCCGATTTTGCCATCACCACCTGTAGACAAGAGAATTGCTCAGTATTCCAGCTGCAGAAACATTATTCTACCTTCATTTAAGGAACCGGCATTTTAGCACACGAGTTTTATATTTCAGCATGCATTCAACCAAAAGCCAGAAGAGCGTGGGCTGAAAAATACGTTCCTTTCCAGAATTTCCTGGATGACATGCATAACTACGCATCAATATTCATGCTGTCGATATGTTAAGAGGGGTTTTCTGGCATTCCTGAAACTCATCAATTCCCCGAAGGAAGTCAGTCCTTACCATCTTGATTTCCCCATTCCCAGTCAGGTCCCCGGACGACTTTTGCATCTTGAAATATCCCCTTTAAAGCAACGCGTGTCAAATTCTGTCGTGGGCTTACAGCGACTCTGGAAGGAAAAGCATAAAACCTCATTTCTTCGTCTGTCGCGTGGATAGGGAGACGCTTACCTCTGAAGCTAAAATGATTCAGGGTCCTTAAATAAGGCTACTTATTCCACCTCTAGCAAGCTCAATCAACCCTAGAATTGTGTCAGCGAGATTGGAGCATAAAAAAATGTAATGTAAAAATGGTGCGGTCAACAGGTAGAGACAAAATGGTTGCTCACAGAGCTACTTTCTTATTGCAACAATTCATTTGGGGAAAGTTTATCACCTGAAAAGTTAGGAAGGAAAGGGAGGGAGGGAGGTGTTGTGGCTCCGTCTTGTGAGCCCCTCTTATCGGAGGAAGAAGGCTCCAAACATGAAGGAGAGGAGATGGCCAGGCCTCCCTCTCCAGGACCCTCCTGTTTGGCAATGCCTCAGGTGTCTCCCGACGGAGAAGAGATTGACCAGGAGCCAGGTGTTTCTGAGATTGGCCAGGAGCCAGGTGTTTCTGAGATTGGCCAGGAGCCAGGTGTTTCGGATAGTGAGGAAGATACGTTGTGGCTGGATCCACGCCAGCGTAGGAGCGACAAGCGTGCGCAGCAGAAAAGGAGACGTGCCAGAGATTAAGCTGAGTCACTGGACCACACCCCACAGGCTATAAAAGGGAGGTGGTGGCCATTTGGACTCTGTGACGGACAAAGCTAAATCTCTGGTGAAGTAGTTTACTGTGGACTTAATTTCTAATTGTGTGTATTGTTTTTTGTTCTCTGAGTAAAAGTCTTGGCAGGCAGCTACAGAGCTGCTGCCAAGTTTCTTATCTGTAGTGTGGAGTGTGGAGAAGTTATTTAACCCTCGGCTGGCTGTTTGGGTGTGTGTGTCAGACGGGACAGAACAGGAGGAGAAAGTTTTGCATACAGTTTTTACCTACTAATATACAGACATCAATGCCAATTTAGTGAAAAATTGAGGAGCAGAATTTAAAGACCAAGCAAGACACACACATAATTTTAATAAATATCAACTATAATAAAAAAAATAATATATTATGCACACTCACAAATATATGTGCGGATATGTGTGCAGTAAAATGAGGAGCTCTTAATAAAAAGGGTGATTAAAGGCCTCTTTTAATCAGCGGCAGCCGTGATGGATCTTGTGGCCTTGCTGGACTTGGGAAGGAAGGACCTGGAATCGGATTAAAAACTGACAGGCGTTTAGCTCAAGCTGCCAAACTGGCCTTGCCTCTCGGCCTTTGTGGGTCGATGGGGAGAAGGGTTCGGATCCAGGTGGAAAAAGGAACGATGTTTGCTTCTAGGGTCAGTGTTTTTCCACCTTGGCAGCTTTAAGATGAGCAGACTTCAAACTCATGAAGCATGGCTGGCTGGGGAATTCTGGGAGTTGGAAGACCACACATCTTAAAGTTGCCCAGGTGGAGAAACACGGTTCTAGCGTTAAACAAAACTGCAAAGTTATCCGAAGGCTGCATGTACCTGGTTTTGTGGACGAAACGGATGGCACCGTTTAATGAAAACTAAAAATAGCTAACAAAAATGGTCCTCTTCATTTGTTATTTAATGCTTTTTTTTTTCTCCTTTCTGTCACTTCATAATTTGCTAGTCTTTTAGAGGGTTATAGAGGCCACTCTTACTATGGGATGGGGGTGGGGGGAGTGAGATGCCTCAGGAATAAATGGACAGTATGTTCAAATTTGGTTATCAACTAGAAGAAGAGGGGAAAAAACAGAGCTCCAAGGAAAACCTCCAGGCATGTCCAGCTCTAACCACCAGGAAGAAATCTAATCCGACGGAGCAACTGAGACCTCTTGTAACTGGGCCCCCCATGAGGACTAGCAACTTACCAACGAAAAGTTTGAAATGCTAAGGAATTCCAAGGTCAGTGCAGGTTCCTCCCTAAGAAATTACTGGTCACGTTTTACATTTATCACCAACGCTAAGAGGGAGGGAGTGGTTCTCTCCACAGAGGCCACTCTGGGTGAGGGTGGGCGACCGAGCGGACTTACGGCTGCGAGTGGGCGGTTTCGTAGCGCTCGAAGGCATGGGAGAGGTCGTGCTTGTTGCTCATGTAGCAGTGCAGGCACAAGTCGTAATCGAAGCAGACTTTGCACTTCCATCGCGTTCCGCGAATGCCGTGTTTCTTGCAACAGTCGCAGATGATGTTAGGGTGGCGGACCCCTAGGGGGAGAGTCCAAACATACTTTGGGTTACAACGATGTCCAGAGCAGAAAGATACCTGGGTGGGGAGGGTTTTTTTTTAAAAAAAGGGGGATAATTTGCAATCGTTCAGACCACGCTTGCAATAATAGGATTGTTTGGACTACAGTCCCCATAAGCCCCCCAGAGCAAGAATTGCTGGGACTTGCAGTCCGCCCACAGGTGACGCTTTGCAAACTAACCCCGGAAGAAGAGAGGGAACTGAATCCTAGTTTTCTTCCCACAGGGAGCTCGCCGTTCAGTGCCCAGGATTTACAGAAAGAGCCAAGGAACCTCCCCATGTAATTCATAATTTGGGCTTGAAGCAGGTGGGAGGGGGGAAAAAAGTACCTATCTGTGCATTATCATACAGCAGAAGATCATATGCTCCCTGGAAGCCGGTCCGGTAATTGGTGCGAGTCCCGTGATCCCACTGGACCACCACGGTTTTATCGGGGGTTGCTGGGCTGCCTTGTCGGCCAATCTCCACCACGGTCCCCAGGTTGCCCTCGCCGTTGTCCTGGTTTCCCCACCTCCAGTCGGCCCCACGGACCACTCGCATGCCGATCTGCATGCTGGCGTAGGGGTCCGAGTCCATCGCTGAGCTGGGGACCCTCAGCTTGGCCACTGGCAGGCGGCTGGACTTTGTAGAGAAGAAAACATGGACGATACCTAGATAATTTTAAAAAAAAATAAAAATAAAATTATCATCTCTTCTTTGCTGCAGAGAGGCAAAGCATCCTTTATTTTAGCCTCACAATAACCCTGCAGAGTAGACCAGGCTGAGAGGGTGATTAAATCTGACTGAAGCTGAAGCTGAATCCAGATCTCTCCGGCCCAATTAGAACGACAATGCCATTCTGTGGTTCTCGGAAACGACATTTCACTTAAACCAAGGATTGTTCAATAAGGTTGAAAATGAAGATTGGTGATAAATAAAATTGGAAGGGGCTACGAAGGCCATCTAGTCCTATCCACTCTGTTCAGGGCAAGGAGCTAAATTAAGGTGTCACCCAGTGAACATATTGGTCAACGCTACTCCAACTCATCCAGGAATCACAGCGTCAAGCCTGGCTTGATGGTGGCTTATATTCTGGTTTGGGTAAAACATTTGCAAACAACGAATGAATTCTAGTTTCACATAACCGGTAACGTTTGGGCTTTGCCAGAAAAAGATTCCCATCCTAACGTGAAGCCTCACAGCCTTGCAGGCCTGCCTATCCACTCTGATGCTTCAAAAGGAGGGGAAAAAAGTGAAAAGTTATTTTAGCTTCAACTTCCCCCATTTTTTTCCCCGTTTATTTTTAACCTGGCCTAAAATTAGACTGGGTCCTAAAATTATCCCAACCAGGAGGGCACCTTGCCTCTTCCGCATTACACCAAGTGTTAAAAATAACTCAGGATAAGTAGCTGCTCCACACCCCCGCTCGGTCACATTTCAGAAAGTCACAGGTAGGCTGGGCTGAATGCCTTCAGCAGGTTTTCTTCTGAAATGCAACAGCTGGAGTCATAAATTTAAAACAACGGGTGGCTACCTTATAAATCCTACCTGGTTTTGGTAAAAATAGACGAGAGAAGGTCACACTGTTTGATTTCAAAAGGAAACCAAACAAAAAACAAAAAAAAACAACAACCCCCAAACCCTCAAGAATGTCTTACAATTTTCCTTGAAGCAGGATCCACCTTCTGGCTTCGGCAGGCAGGCAGTCTGAAATCAAGAGTCAAAGATGTTTTTCTACCGCAGCATGTAAAAAGAGCATTTGAAAAACAAAATATCTGGGATGTATTAGGCAAAATAAGACCCATGTAGCCAAGCAGAATTGATTTCATCAATTCTGTGGGAATTGCCCAATTCTGTGGGCAAATTGTGGGACTTCTCTGCCCTGTGGGTTAAGGTGAATCCCCAATCAGCAGTAATGAGATACACTATCTGCCACTGCATGTCAGTTATACGTGGTTGACACTGCATGTCAATGACACCCCGACAGCAAAGTAAAACTGCGGAGAGGAGCAAGAAGAAGATACAGAATGGATTGTCCAAAAAGGGAGGGAGTAAATGTCTCAGGCTACTACAGGTGGTGCTCAGCTTAGCCCCACATTTCTGTTCCTAAGTGAGACCTTGATAGGGTTTTGTCCCATTTTACGACCTTTCCTGCCACAGTTGTTAACTGGATCACCGCAGAGGTTAAGTTAGTCACACGGTTATTAAGTGAATCTGGCTTCCCCCGTTGACTTTGGTTGTTAGAAAGTCACAAAAGGAGACCACGCGACCCTGGGACACTGCAACACCATCACAAATACACGCCAGTTGCCAAGGGTCCAAATTTTGATCATATGACCACATGGTCGTTAATTGGGAAAAACAGACCTAGGTCCCTTTGTTTCATCAAGACCGGCTCTCGTGCTTCAGCAATTTTATTTATTTTTCTTTATTTGAAGGGTTTGTACGGATTAAATAACTGAGCGGCTCACCACATGGCGGATTCTACACTCAGCAAGGGGTGGGACTGGATGACCTCTAGGATCCTTTCCAGCTGTGAGATTCCAGCTGGCCTGTTAGGATTTCCACAGAGGAAAGGAAATCACAGCTCAGCCACTTCTTGGGCTGTATTGAATGCTGCCCCTTCCTTTCACACTTGTTCCTTGCCTGTGCAGTTGCAACGGCAATTAGGCATGATCTCCAACTGGCTTTAATCAAGGTTTAAGACAAACTGAGAAAGCCTCCCCCTGAGGGTTTTAAGCCAACTGTGGGAAACATAAACTTTCTTTCTTCCCAGAAAGGGAAAGAGGGGGAATGGAAAATTCTTAGAAAGCCGCGTTTTTTACAGAAGATATCTCTGTGTGTGTCATATTCGTACTGCTATATTCATGTACCGGCGATAAAAAAAACCGAGTGCGCAGATCTGCTTTGCAGATTACCGTCTGCTTTAAAAGATCGAGAGGGAGGTTTTTAACACTAGGAAGCTTTTTAAACTGAGAAAACCATTAAAACCCAAGCCTTAACAGGGATTAAAACTGGCAGGAGTTAACATTAAAACCCGCAAGAGATTAATCCAGTTCCTCCTTATCGTGCAAAGTAAGACATAAGCAGCTGGGATGGAACAAATTTTGTAAAGGAAGGGGCAGAGTGATGTGGGAAAATATTGTTGGTTTGTGATGCAGGAAGGAAACTTTTTTAAAAAAAAAAAAACAACACCCAATTTTCAGATGTATAATAGCACAGAACCTAAAAAAAGCAAGCTGAAAGTTCCCACACATTTATTATCTGTTCCGGAAGTGAAATGTCGGTGAAGAAGGAACAGAATCAATTCGGCCTACCGCTGTATTACAAACTGGTTGGCATTTCCAGGAAAAAAATCCTCTGGGTTTTCCCCTTTACTATTCTGTATAGCTTCATGGTACAGTACATTTTCTCAAAAACATGAAGTATTATGTGTGTGTATACACACCATACTGCTTTCCATAAATACTGGAAAATGTATTCAGTCATTCTTTACATTTTCAGCATTACCCAGAAGCTTCTAAGCATATCCTCACAACAAGAAGGACTAGAAACATGATTCTCTAAAACGTTGAGAGAGAAAAAAACCCATCTGGTTTTCTTCCTGCCACCCACGGGTTTTCAACACAATTAAGACATCGCTACCCAGAAACAAACTTATCAGAAATTACCTCTTTAAGACGGAGCTTGCAATCTTTTGCTGATGACGGCCTGTTGCAGATTTCCGGTCAAATCTTCAGTTCACACATCCCCCTAAAAGATGGGGAAAGAGAGGTTCAACAGAACAATCTTGTGCTTGGAGATGATAGCAGTCTTCCAATATCTCAGGGGCTGCCCCAAAGAAGAGGAAGTCAAGCTATTTTCTAAAGCGCCTGAAGGCAGGACAAGAAGCAATGGGTGGAAAGTAATCAAAGAGAGAAGCCACCTTAGAACTAAGGAGAAATTTTCTGACAGAACAATTAACCAGTGGAACTCCTTGCCTCCAGAAGCGGTGAATGCTCCAACACTGGAAGTTTTTAAGAAGAGACTGGACAGCCATTTGTCCGAAATGGTATAGGGTTTCCTGCCTGAGCAGGGGGTTGGACTCGATGACCTCCAAGGTCCCTTCCAACATTATTATTATTATTATTATTATTATTATTATTATTATTATTTATTATTATTATTATTATTATTATTATTATTATTATTATTATTATTATTATTATTATTATTATTATTATTATTATCATTATCATTATTAATAATAATTATTATTATTAGCAACATTTTTGAAAGTTCCCGCATTTCGAAACAAGAGGAAAACGGTACTTCTTTAGCAAAACAAAAAATAAAATAAAAAAATCTGCAGTTTCAAAGTCAGAAACCATAAAAGCAAATCAAAACCTAGATGCCATTTGGATTTTACCGGGCCGATGCCCATAAAGAGGGGAATGAGGGGGGTCTATCAAGGTCAAGCAGAGACTCATCCAGAGATGCGCCCTCCCAGTCTCAGAACACAGACAGCCCTCGACGTACGACCGCTGAGCCCAGCATTTCCGTTCCTAGGCAAGATCATTGAGTTTGGCCCCACTTTACGGCCTTTTTTTGCCACAGTTGTTAAGTGGATCGCCGCAATTGTACAGTTAACAGACACAGTTGTTAAGTGAATCCGGCTTTGCCCCGTTGACTTTGCTTGTCAGAAGGTGGCAAAAGGGGATCACCTGCCCCCCCCGGGACACTGCGACCGATGGAAAAACCGCCATCGGTCACTTTTTTTTAGTGCCATCGTAACTTCGTACGGTCACTAAACGAAATGCTGTTAGTCGAGGACCACCGCTATTCTTTTGAACCACCAGCGCGCTTTTTTTAAAAAAATCAATCAATGCAGCAGGGAACTCCACCCCTCCTCCTTTAGCTCCACCCTTCTGCCTTTGTCCCCACCCTTCTTTGTCTAGCTCCTCCCCTCCTCCTTTAGCTCCTCCCTTTTGCCTTTGTCCCGCCCCCTCTTCATCTAGCTCCTCCCCTCCTACATCAGCTCATCCAAGCTACAGCCATGTCTTCAAAGGAAGCCCCAGAAACTATACTATCCATGCGGTGAGGGTGTTTTCTGCACCACATAACAATTCTGGCTTTTTTTTAAACCATTTTTCTTTGGACTGGAGAAACTGACCCACCTATTCGGCGTGGCATGGTGTTATTTGGGAGCAACACATTGAAAGTAGCAGTTTTTACGGCAGGTTACACCGAGTTGGGTTTTTAGCCCCTGTTGTATTTTGCTTTATCTGTTGCAAGTAGCGTGTATTTTTATTTATGGCTGAAATGCATCTGTTCAGCAACTTACCTCTGCATCCGTTCTGAACCTGAACTCTCATTGCTTTTTTCAGTTATTGTTGTCTGATCATGTTAACGTTTTCATGAAATGTTGTAGTCTGTTCGCTCATGCCGGTGTGTAAAGCATTTCAAAAGGAGCCAAGCCCCACAACGTAAGAATGGCGAGTTGGCAGCAGTTCCTACAGAGCAGTGGCAATCTTAACAGGTTGACCAATTGGGCAAAAATAAGAGATTTTGCAGGGGTCTTCCTGCATGTTTTGGTGCTTCTAATTGTGTCAGGCCTCTGCAAGGGACCAACCATGGTTGGGAAACTGAGCAGGGTTGGGCATGACTAGTTTTCGGAGAGGAGACCACAAGGAAATCCAGAGATTGGAGGCTAGGCCGTGGAGTCCAGCTCTGCCCAAAGGGGATTTTTTTTAACTCTGCTGTCCCCCATCAGAGGACGAAGTATTCCTTTGGGAAGATAAGTCATCTTTAGCTTCAACAATTTGTTTCAAGCAAAAGAGATTGCCGAGACGGAACTTGCTCACACATCAATTACTGAGGCTGCAATTTAAGCTGACAACGTTGCAAGCAATCAAATCAAATCTCTTGTGGTTTTACTTTTAGATGGAATAACAACTCTGCTCCTCTCTGTCATACATTTTTAATCTCTTTCTCTCTCTCTCGGCGGCGTTCAGGAGAGGCAATTTAGAAAGCTCGTCAAAACTTAAGAAACCCAGAAAACACCATCTCTGTCCTGCTTACATGTTGAGGTTGAGCCCTTGAGGATATGCCAATATCTGTAACTTTTCCCTATATTGGTGCAATGTCAAGCTCATTGATACAATGATAAGACTACTATAGAGCATATCAGCTTATATTGTAGTAAAAAATAAGCATTTTGGTCCAAAATCTGCTTCTTGCAGCTTAAAAACAAGGAATTATACACACACATACACGTGTTTTCATGCGGCTGTGAAGAATGGCAATAATGATTATGATACTAGCAATGACTAAAAATGCAAGGCATCACACCGAACAAATATTACGGTGGCCCCAAAGCTGCCCTTAAAATGTGGCGGAGATAAGGTGGTATCTCAGTCATGGGATTCTCAGTCTGAGAATCACAAGAAGCAAGCTCCTTTGTGTCTTGGCTCTAGAGGTCGTACAATCGTCCAAAAGTTTGGGCCTACAGATCTTTAGGAAATTCAGAATTAACAGAGTTGGAAGAGACCATGAAGGTCTTCTAGTCCAGCCCCCTGCTCAAGCAGGAAAACCTATGCCATTTCAGGCAAATGGTTATCCAGTCTTTTCTTAAAAACCTCCAGTGTTGGAGCACCCACAACTTCAGAAGGCAAGTCGTTCCACTGGTTGTTCTCAC